GGTAGAGGAGATTATCTAATGACCATGAGTTAAGACAACAAATGATGGGAGATAGAAGAGCCTACTTGCTCCTCCTTTCTCTGCTTACCCTTTCTAAAGCAATTCTGCACCTGGAAATACCATCCTTCCTCCCACCCCCAGTCTTTATCCCTCCTCCTCCCACAAGGCAATGGGGTCTTTAACTGTCTCTCCCTGTGACCCTACCAGGTAGAGGACTCATTAGCACAAGCTCCTGGCAACCATATTTTAATTAAGGTGTTGGCTCCATCTGATAGAAGCTGTTGAGTGATAACTAAGTATTGACTACCTCCCTGCTGAGACTAATTTATTTATCTTGCTGTTAGATCTTTACTGTTTGTGGTAATGGGGAACCCAGGATTTGCAGTTTTCAGGAGGGTTTAAAGGAGTCATATGGAAAGACAGTCAGTGGTATCTTTGTTGTTACCCCTCTGTAGAGGTTTGAAGCAGATTGGGAGAAAGGGCAGGGACTTGACCCCTCAGCCCAGAGGTGTCTGCTGTGTCAGCAGAGGAAGTCTGGGTAATGGGAGCCTGAGACTTGCAGAGATATCGAGGTCACTTGTGTCAGTCGATAAGAATTATCAAGCACTTCTTTAATGCCAGGCACCATGCTAAGCACTGATGATGATAGAAAGACCAAAAACAAAGTTCTCTCTCTTAAGGAGACATGTTCTAATGGGAGAGACAACATATCAATAGCTAGGTACATTCACCATATATGTACATGCATATACATACATGTACATATTTTATATATGTGTGTGCTTATATATACATATGTATGTGTGTTTATATATACACATACATACGTATTTATATACATATATGCATATATGTGTATGTGTGTATATATATATGTATGTGTGTGTGTATATATACACACACAGACTATATAGAAAGCAATTGAAAGGGGAGGCATTCACATCTTGGGGGACCAGGAAAACCCCTTGCAGAACTATAGGCTGTCTTTTTTTTAATTTTAATTTTTTTTGTTACATTTTAAGTTCTGAGCTGTTTTCCTCCATCCCTCCTCACTCTGCACAAGAGAAGACCACCATTGACACAGATTTATAAATATGTGTAAAACCATACTATTCATAATTTTCTTTATCAGTTCTTTCTCTGGAGGTGGATAGCATCTTCCTTCCTAGGTACTTTATAATTGATTTGAGTATTTATAATACTCAAAATAACTTGGTTGTTCACAAGTATTCTTCAAACAATATTACTGTTACTGTGTACAACATCCTCTTGGTTTTGCTCATTTCACTTTTCATTATCTCATGCAAGTCTTTCTATGGTTTTCTAAAATCAACCAGCTCATCATTTCTTACACATAGTAGTATTCCATCACAATCATATACCACAACTTGTTTAGCCATTTTCCAATTGAGTGGGCTGAGTCTTGAAGGAAGACAAGGAAGCTAAAAGGCAGAAGTGAAGAGGGAGGGCATTCCAGGCATGGGGCACAGCTTTTGCAAAGGTATGGAGATGGAGATGGGGATGGAATGTTATATTTGAGGAACTACAAGTAGACCAGTGTCACTAGACCATAGAGAATGAAGGGGAGTAAATCTGTAAGAAGACTGGAAAGTAGGAAGAGACCAGGTTATGACGAGCTTTAAAGGCCAAACGAAGGAGTTTACATTTGATCCTGGAGGTAATAGGGAGCCACTGGAGTTCACTGAGCAGAAGGTGTGACATGGTCAGCCCTTCCTTTAGAAAAATCACTTTGATAGCTGAGCAGAAGATGGACTGGAATAGGGGGAGAATTGAGGCAGGGAGACCAATTGTGATAGCCCAGGTGAGAGGTGATATGGGCCCAAACTAGGCTTATGTCTGTGTGAATGGAGAGGGACATATGTGAGTAATGTTGTGAAAGTAAAAACAAGATTTGGGAACAGATTGGATATGTGGAGTGAGTAACACTGAGTTATAGATAACCCTGAAGTTGCAAGCCTTGAGTGATTGGGAAGATGGTGGTACCAGCAATAGGGAAGTTCAGAGGGGATTTTGGAGAGAACAGAATGAATTCTGTTTGGTACATGTTGAGTTGGAGATATTTATGGGGCATCTACTTCAAGATGTGCAGGAGGCAATTAGAGATGCCCAGTCACCAGGTGCCCCTGACGGTGAATGGTAGAGGATGGTAAAGTTTTGACTCCCCAGGGGTTTCCTTATAACAGGCCTGCACAGTCTGGAGCCTACCAAAGGATTTAGGGTGGCCCTTGAAAGATGTAGAGAAAAATATCCTCTACATTTTTCACAGGCCATGCCTCAGCCGCAGGTTGTGCAGGCCTGCCCTATAATATTGTTTATTATATTTTAGGATTTGGTATAAAGTGAATATCTCTTGAATGATTAATATTCAATACTAGTTTAGCCACTAAAAGATAGTAAGTAACAGAAACTTCTTAAACACTTGCACGTCAGGGCATACATATAGTACTATCCATCCCACCTCAAAGGTTCAAGCAACGTTTTCCCTTTAGGCTGATCTTAGGCAATCTCTTTTTTTGAGAAACTCTGAGGGTCTTCCCCTCCCAGATTGATTCTTTTGTGAAGGCAAACTAGGTCTTTTGCCTCCATTCTTACCTAGCCTTAATTACTGAGTGGGCATTGCCTTGGACAAACTGAGACCTGGGAAAGACCTCAGCTTGAAAAGGCCAAGGTCTCCCACTGCCATCCCCAGTCATCCTGACCTATGTCTTGTTACTGGACTCCGATGACTCTGGAGGAGAGAGTTGGGGCTGATGACTGTACAACTCTGCCTCACTTAAATCCAATTCACTTGCAGGTCAAGACATCACCCTCCTGATGTCACTGATGCTCTTCTAGAACAAAAGATGAACACCGGCCAATCTTAGCCACTTTCCTCCCCCTTGAAAGCTTCCCAAGAAGCAAGAAGGACCAGTTCAGAGCCTCATGATTTATTTTTTCCAAAACAATTCTGAAAGATGGGGTTTTATCCACTGTACCTATAATTAAATATGTTTAACTGAAAAAGTACTTCTGATGAAAGCCCCATTGAACAATTTGCTGGATGCAGAACCTGAGTTACTTTCTGACATTCTTGGCCTGCATGTAATTCAACAGAAACACAATCTCATGATGCCTTAAAACAGTCATTTTAACCCTCACTCAGCTCCCCGAGTGCTTAATAGAAAGTTAAGCAAATTGTGTCCACAGCAGAGATGGGAAAACAGAGGAACAGAAAGCTTGTAGCTCTTGCATATTGTCATATACAGAGCCAGTGGCATAGCTGCACCAAGAATATCTTCCTATTTCTGAATCAAGATCTTGACATGAATCTTCCAGGGAACTGGAGAGTGAGGTAGAATTACCTCAGAGCAAGCAGCAGGGTTCAGAACCTGGGGGTGTCAGCCCCTGCCAGGTGGCATATCCCAGGGACCTCTGCCTCAAGCCCTGTTTCTTTTTGAAACTGCTTTCTCTTTTGACTTATTAACTCCCCATACCTCCTCTCTTCCTCCTACCATTTCTCTCTCCTTTAACCCATCTTTGTCTTGCCCACTTCAGAATTTTATCCTGTTAACCAATCAGATGACCAGTTGGAACTTACTCAGCACTCCCCTTTGCAGGGGAGACAAAGAATAACACAGCTTGTGGTCAGAAAGATTGGACACACACACACAACTCATGATAAACAATAGTAATAGTAAATAAATAATATAATAAATGTACAAATATAAATAATGATGATAATGGCTAGCATTTATGTAGCACCTACTGTTTGCCTTCTAATTGGTCTCTTAGCTACAAGTCTCTCCCTGCTCCAAATCTATCCTCCACTCTGTCAAGGGAATTTTTCCAACAAGTAGGTCTGATCAGGTCCCCCCTCCCTGCCTTGTTCAGTGATCTCCAATGATGCCCTCTTACTTCTAGGATCAGGAATAGAGTCTTCTGTTTACCATTTAAGGCTACTCATAACCAAGCCCCTTGTTCTGTTTCCAGTTTTCTTAAACCTTACCCGCCTCTACCGTTCTACAGTCTAGCTCTCCTAGCTTTCTTGAATGGAACCCTCCATCTCTTTATCTCCATATTGGCTATTTCCGTACTGCTCTCTAACTCTTAGTTTCCATGCTTTCTTTAAACACTGAACTCAAAGCCCATTTCCTGTAGGAGGTCTTTCTGATCCCCTCAGCTGCTAATGCTTCCCTTTTTGGATTACTTTGTAGCTACTCTCTCTTTCTCTCTCTCTCTCTCTCTCTCTCTCTCTCTCTCTCTCTCTCTCTCTATTGTATCTACCTAGTATATATTTGGAATAAGTCTACTTATTTACATGCTGACTCCTCCCATTAGAATATAGGCTCCATGAAGGCAGAGATTGTGGGGTTTTTTGTTTGTTTTTTTTTTCTTTGCCTTTCTTTGTTTTTCCCAGCACTTAGCACATGCCTGGCACATATAAACACTTTAAATGCTACCTTGCACATGAGTCCTTTTCTGACTCCTTCTCAGCTGCTAATGCTCCTTACTTCTTTCTCTTTTCTTTATTTTAAATATCTGTACATATTGTCTCTCCCAATAGCATAGAAGCTTCTCTGGGGCAGGAGCTATTGTTATACATCTGCCTTTCTATCCCCAGTGCCTACCACAGTAGTGAATACTCAATAAATGCTTGCTGATTGAGTTTTCTCCAAAAAGATGTTTGGGAAGAAATGGGACTTAATCTGGGTCTTAAGAGACTGTTAGCTTTTGAAAAGGCAGAGGGGCTGGGGAAGGGTATTTTGGGCAGGGAAATGGAAAGGCCAAAGCTTCAGAGGTGGAAAAGGACAGGGTGGTTTGGGGATGGTGAGTTATTCTTCCAGAAAATGTCCTAAGGATCTAGGGAATGTGTTCATTTGGGGTAGGAGGTTTGGAATAGTGAGCTTTGTTTCTCCTCCATTAGTCTTGGCTATAATCCAAATGTAGTCACTATTTACTACTGCTCTAAACCCCCCCTCCCCCATCTTCTCTCTTCCCAGTGTGATCAGTACAAGAAGGGAATCATCTCTGGTTCTGCCTGCTCCAATCTGTGTGATGAGCATACCCTGGTGTTCCAGCAGTGCCTCTCCCCGTCTCCCACAAAGCAGGTAAGGCAAAATGGGGCCAGTAGAACTTAGGCCAAAGTTGTCTACAAAAAGAAGTTACCTGGGGATCAGAGGCATTTCAAATGGGGAAAAGATCGATGCCTAAGCCACAAAAAGTCCCTAGTCCCTAACAGATGGGGTGGTGATGGAAGACTGTGTCAGAACTTGAAAGGATTTCCTTGGCTTTTTGCCTTCAGCTTCTTGGGATGACTAAAATTAACAGGAGTAAGTTTTGAAGGTCGTTGATTCAATCTCCATGTGTTTGTACTCCAATCCCAGAAACAGACTAAGCCCCAAACCCAGACACAGGCTGAGAGTCCTGACCTTGGCCACAAACCAAACCCTAGCTTTGGCTGACTGGATTCTTCATTCTCAGCACAGACTACCGTACACAATTTGTCTTCATGCCACTGACCAGAAGTAGAATCCTAATTAGAGACTATATAGCTCACTACTAGAAGGAACTCAGAGCCCATGCCATACTGTCCAATGCTGTGTACGCTGCAGCAAGGATATCCAGCTGATCACAGAATGATGTTCCAAGTCCTGATCCTTGTGGGGTTGGGGACCTAATGCTTTGTGTTGGGTATTGCCTCCTGCTGTCTTTTTATTTTCCTTACTAGATGCTAGCAGGAAAAAGGAAGGCTACAGAAAGTTCTTGGGGACTGAGAGGTTTAGACTCTGTCTAGTTCCCACATCCCTACTGCCCACTCAGAGGGAAGAAAACGCAGGAGAATCTGTGTTCCTGATGGCCCCAGCTATCCATCAATAGTCTCCTTATTACTCCTCATTCAACTCTGGGGCTGGAAATTATTAAGAATATATCGAATGATTCTCGTAGGTGCTTTTTCTTAAGGCCTACTTTGGTTGGTGTGAAGGGAGAAAACTTTTCTACTTGGATGGCTCCTCAACTCTTTTTTCCTTTGTACCAGGTGTACAGTGGGGTTTGGAAGGGGAAAGCGGTGATCATCAAATGTGGCATCACAGAGGCCTTGAAAGCTGAGAACAATCCTGACACGGCCCCCCGAAGAGAACTGGTTCTGTTTGATAAGCCAACAAGAGGCACATCAATGGATGAGTTCAGAGAGATGCTTCTGAATTTTCTCAAAGTTAGTTGGTTTCTTGGGGCTGAAGATCTGTCTTTTGTTTTTCCATTAAGGCCTGAGCACTTGACCCTGGGCACTTGGGTTTAGGGCTCTGTGCCTCAGGACAGTCCAAAAATATGTTCTCGGGCTCTCCAAAGAGCCCAGGTCCAGGGGCACAGCTAGTTGTGTTTGTGCTTGGGGCAAGCTCTGAGAATGCACCCATCTCCCACTCTCAATCCTAACTGTAACCTCCACTGTCCCTGACCTTTTCCCTCTCCAACCTGTGCTTCCTCTGTCCCATCTGATGTTGGTCTCTTCCCCCTGTTGTCTCTATCTCTAATCTTTGTCAATCTCCCAGTACATGTTTGGCAACACTGACTGGGTGTCAGCAGAACCTAAACAGAGCCGATCATCAGAGGCAAAAAGGTCCGTCTAGTATTTCCAGCATTGATTGGGTGGTTTCTGGTGAGGCAGACTTATAAATTGTTAGAGCTAGAAAAAACTTCAGAAATCACCTGGTGCAACCTCTTCATTTTATAGATGAGGAAATGGAGGCCAATGAGGTAATGTGACTCACCTAAGGTTATATAGTGAGTTAGTGTCACATTTGGAACTGGAACCCAGGTAGGTCTTGAGGGCTAGTCCTGGGCTTTCTGCCTCTTTTCCTCTTACTAAAATGTGCACAATCACTTCTGGTCCTACTTGCCTTATAGAGACACAATGGGAATGAGGCAATCTAGGGGAAGAACTTTCCCAATAGTAGTTCATTATTATTTTTTCAATTAAGTATTCATTTTCTGTCTGTCCCACCTCCTTCCCCCTATTGGAAAAAGAAGGAAAGAAGGAAGGAGAGGGAGGAGAGAGAGGAAGAAAAGGAGAGAGGGAAGGAGGGAGGGAGGAAAGGATGGAAAAGAGAAAAAGGAAGGAAGAAAGGAGAGAGGGAAGGAGGGAAGAAGAAAATCCTTTGCAACAAGTATGCTTATTGAAAAAAAATTCCCACACTAACCATGTCAAAAAACATGTCTATTCCACATCTTGAGTCCTTGACTTCTATATTAGGAGGTCAATAGCATTCATCATTATTGGGTCCCCTGGAATCATGGTTGGTCATTACATTGATCATAAGTTCTTAAGGCTTTCAATATGTTTGTCTTTGTAGTGTTGTTGTACAAATTGTTCTCTCAGTTTTCACCTCACGTTGCATCAGCTCATGTCTTGCCAGGTTTCTCAGAAACTGCTTCTTTTGTTGTTTCTCACGGAACAATAGTATTTCATTATATTCATAGATGATAATTTGTATAGTCATTGCCTAACTAATGGACAACGCCTTGATTTTCCAGTCCTGTCCCGCTACAAAGAGCGGCTATAAATATATTTATACATATGGGTCTTTTCACTCTTTCTTTGATCTCTTCAGAATATAGGCCTAGTTGTGGTAGCAACTAGTCAAAGGGTACACACAGTTTTGTGACTTGGGGCATAGTTCTAAATTACCTTCCAGACTGGTTGTATCAATTCACAGCTCCACCAACAGTGCATTTTTGTGCCTGTTGGCCCTCTATCTTTTTCCTTTTTGGTAATCCAATGGGCGTGAGCTAGAACCTCAGAATTATTTATATTTGTATATCAATAATTATTAGAAATTTGGAGCACTTGAAAATATAATTATTTGTAGCTTGGATTTCTAAGAGCAGTCCATTCTAAACACATTTTTGAGATCTTGGGAAAAAAATTTTCTGGTGTGGTAGAGACAGCACTTTATGAATATTAGAAATGGAAGAGACCTTTAAGATTGCCTAGTATGATGATTAGCTGTGAAAGACTCAGCTGCTCTGAGCAATACAGTGATCCAAGACAATTCCAAAAGACTCATAATGAAAAATGCTATCCACCTTCAGAGAGAACTGATGAACTGAGTGCAAACTGAAGTATAATTTTTAAATGATTTTTCTTGCCTTTTTTTTTACAAGATGGTTAATATGGAAATGTTTTGCATGATTTCACATGTATAATTGATATCATATTGTTTACCTTCTCAGTGGGTGGAGGAGGGGCCAAAGGGAATTTGGAACTCAAAATTTTAAAGAAATGAATATTGAAAATAAAAATATTTTTTTAAAAAAAGATCATCTAGTGTAATACCCTCGTTTTGCAAATGAGGAAATGAAGGCCAAGAGAGGAGAAGGGAGTGACTTATCCAAAGCCATTCATTAAGTGGATAGGAGGACAGGACTACAACCCAATTATCTGGACTTGCAATCTGGTGTAGCATTATCTACTTTTTCCATGGGTTTTTTTGTCCTTTCTCCCCTACGGAACTATGAATGCCATACGATCAGAGTCCATTCTTTTAATCTCTGCATCTCCCACAGTACTGAGGACAGGGGTCTGCTCACAGTAGGCATGCAAGAAATTTTGTTTACTGGCTGAAAGGTTGGGTGGAACCAAGTGAAGGAGGGCCTGGGAAGCCAGGCAGAGGCTGCCCTGCCTAGTGGTTTCTTAATTTTCTTGGCTATTGTCCACTGTACAGCTTTAACTCTATTAGAAATAATTTGTTTTCTTTGGTTCCATCTGGCAGGCTAACCTAGGAGATCAGCCTTCTCTCACTGGCCTGGTTGGTCAGATCATCACCATGGCTGACGTCAACCAGGATGGGAAAGTGTCTCTTGCAGAAGCCAAGTCCATCTGGGCCCTGCTGCAGCTCAATGAGTTTCTACTCATGCTCTCCCTACACGAGAAGGAGCATACATCCAAACTCCTAGGACACTGTGGGGATCTATACCTCACGGAGAAGATCCCCCACAGCTCCTTGTATGGCACCGAGGTGCCTCCCTTTCTGAGGCCGCTGCTGCCCTCTGCCATCCACAGGATCATCCAGCAGTGGTTTGCACCGGCTTGGCCTCGAAGGGCCAAGATTGCCATCGGTCTCCTGGAGTTTGTGGAGGAAGTCTTTCATGGCACCTATGGAGTCTTCTACATCTGTGAGACCAGTTCTGCCAACGTGGGCTACAATGCCAAGTACGACTTTAAGATGGCTGACCTGGGGAAGGTGGCCCCTGAGGCAGCAGTCCGGGCCTTTCTCAAAGGCCGCCACTGTGAGCAGAACGCTGACTGCACCTATGGCCAGGACTGCATGGCGCCATGCGATAAGCTCATGAAGCAGTGTAAGAGTGACCTGATCCAACCTAACCTAGCTAAAGTGTGTGGGTTGCTGAAGGATTACCTGCTGTCAGGCACTCCTGCAGACCTCAAGGATGAGCTCCAAAAGGAGCTCCAAATATGTATGACTCTGAGTGGCCTGGCCAGCCAGATGGAGGTGCACCATTCATTAGTGCTCAGTAACCTCAAGACCTTGCTCTGGAAAAAGATATCCAATACCAAATATTCCTAAAGGGACAAGGGCTTGTTCTAGTCACAGCCCACCTCTGCTGTCCTTTGTGGGTAAAGTCTCATTACAACAAAGGGTTCTGTAGGACAAATATTTCCATATCCTGGTGGAGAGCCCATAGTAACAGAGCTCTGTTGCTCGGCTATAACAAATTCTGTGCCACAGGTAGATTAAGTGTTTTCTCTAATGTCTATCCACACCATAGTTACTTTCTATCAGGAAAAGTTTTGGTTATTCACGGTTAGGAGAGGAGAACTGAACTCTTTTCTTTTGCCCTGTCATCCAGATAGCAGTTGTCATTTCCACAATCATGGCAAGTACCTAATGAAACTCATCCAAACTCCTCAAACACAAGTTGAAACAAAACAGGAGTCTGAGGATCTAACAGACCAGAAAGGAAGGGATGGGATATGTAGACTTAATCACCACCACCCCATGCTCTCCTTTTTGGTACTGAATACAAAACATTTGTCACTCGCTAGAGGTCAGCTTTCATCTCCAGCTCCAGAAGACATTGGTTTTTAACAAAAATTGAATATAACAAAAACAATTAGGACCCTTTCCTGGCCCCCTCCCCCCACAAAAATTCATTGTTTACCTGTCTCTGCTTTCCCCTCTTCTCCTTCATTAGAGAAAACTCTCCACCAATAGGAGGTTTTCATAAGTTATAACACCTTTACATCCATGGAAAAATGTACCTGTAATCCTTAGAAGATTATTGTCCTAAGCCCTTCAGACACCCAGGTCAATGGTGTGAGAACTTGGCAACCATAGCTAAAAGGCTGGTGTAGGAAGTAAAAATCAGCTGTGCAGAGGAATTAGTCTTAACTGTGCAATCTTTCCCCATTAAGGAAGGATCTGTATTAGTATAGACCAAGGGAATCATAATGCTGTTTTTACAAAAAAATTTTTGTTGAATACCGATGTAAATAAATAGCTTTTATGTGACTGCCACTGTTTTATCTGAGCTGCCACCATTGTTTGGGACAATTGCTCGTAGGGGTTTTCTTGGGGATAGCACTGTTCTTTTAATCACTGTGGGTAAGCTATCTTACTCACAGCTAGTTGACATGCCATAATGGCATTCTCTTCCACCCTAGTCTTCCCTGTTCTGGGTTATTCAGGGGACTCATGTGGGTTGGAGGGTTACGTTATAACTTTAGGACCCCATTGTTTTCCCCTGTTGGCAAACACTTTCCTTCAGTTGGGCAGGTCTCTTCAGCTCCCTGTGCTTGACTCACTTACCCTCTTTGGGAACGGTTAAGTAGGTACCATCAAATCCTTCCTGGTTTCTCTGACAAATCTGAGTTGGGTAAATCTGTAGTTTCTTTTTGGGGTAGTTTCAGCCACTACTAAAATGGGGCTTATAGATACAACTGATGTCCAAGCAGCCCAGTGTATCCTCAAAAGGACAAGGAACTTGCTAAGAGGCATGTTTGGAGGTGAGGATGTTTGGGGAAGGGACAGGACTTTACCAAGTTTTGCATGAAGGAACAGAATAGAAACTTCTTCCTGTTAGCTGGGGGGGATTAAAGTCCTTTTTGCATCACTCAAGATATTATACAAGTTTGAGTCTTGGTTTTAAAATTATTACAGCCATTCATCTCAACTGTAATGACCTACAGGGAGATTGATGACCTCTGCATTATTCCTTGCACAACAATCTAGCACCAGAGTTGAATGCAAAGCAACATTACAGATTTGAGCCAGTCTCCCTCCTCCCATTTCTGGTAGTTTTCTCCTTTGCTTTATTAAAGCCCCCTCCCCCCTCCCATCCCCCACTTCCTCCCCTTCTGTGAAGCCTCCAAGTTCTCATTAACATTCAAAATGATTGGTTCCCCAGGATGAGGGACTACACTGGCTGCAGTCCTACTTATAACAGCTTGCTGCAATGAGGCTGAGACACTATCATGGAAAGCTCTTTGAATGCACTCTAAGGTAAAGTCAGGTGACTAAAGTAAAAAATCTAGGTTAGGGGCTATTCAAAGGCTGAACTCTCATTTTCTAAATTCTGTGGAGGCCACTATTAAATATCTTTGGCATCATTTATGGGTATTGTATTAATGAGAACTCCCATCTTAAATCTACTGGGCAGGAAGTAGAACCAGCTTGATTTGGAAGGATGGGCATTGGAAGAGTAACTACCTCCTCTGGCAAAGAGGATTACAGTCCTGCTCTGAGGGTGATCATCATCTGGGTGATGCTTCAGAGCCTTAACGATTTCTAATACATGTGCTCAAAATAAGGGCTTGGGCCAGTGAAGGGGCCTGCAGAAGGCTGCCTTGGGCAACATTAGGCTGAACTGAAAAAGCTGGACTGAGACCATTAGTATAATCTCATTACTCCCCTCACCATGACTGCCATGGCAATCTCTAAGGTACTGATTGACAAAGAATCACTCCATTTGTCCAAGGAAAACTTGGATACAATAGACTAACAAACAGGAAAAAACAAAAATGTCAAAACTTGTTGGACTTGAAACAGAACCCACTAGTGGAAAGCACTGGACTTGGGGTCCAAAGTTGTTGTTGAGTTGTATCTTACCCCATTTGGGGTTTTCTTGGCAGGGATACTGGAGTGGTTTGCCATTTCTTTTTCCAGCTCATATAACAGATGAGGAAACAGGCAAAATAGGGTTAACTCACTTGCCCAGGGTCACACAGCCAGTAAGTATCTGAGACAGGATTTGAACCCTTGAAAATGGGTCTTCCTGATTCTAAGCCTAGTGCTCTATCCATTGTACCACTTAGTTACTTGGGCTCCAAAGACTGGAGTTCAAAACTCAACTCTGCTGCTTACTGCGTGACTTTGAATAAGACATTTAATCTTGCTGGGCATTGGGTGTCCTCGTCTGTAAACTGAGCTGTGAAATCTGAACCAATATTCATTCTAGTAGCTGCTATTAAACAGCTTCTACATTTTGGACCCTTCAGGGTTCCACCCTTAGTTGATTTGATTCATTTCCTTTGAGAGCAGCTAGGTTGCACAGTAGATAGAGTGCAGGGCCAGGAGTCAGGAAGACCTGAGTGCAAATTTGACCTCAGACACTTACTAGCTGTGTGACAAGTTAGTTAACCCTGTTTTCCTGTGTTTTCTCATCTGTTACATTAGCTGGAAAAAGAAATGGCAAACCACTCCAGTAGGACACGACTGAAACTGAGCCACAACAATGACAATCTCCTTTGAAAACCTGTCATCTACATGTGATACATATTCACATACCCTCCCCTCCCAACAAGCATGTATTGTATGCAAAAACATATTAGAACACTTGGATAGTTAGATGATCCATAGATCATCTCCAGGTGAAAAATTGGGTTCTAAGTATTCTCTGATTCTACAGACAAACCTCCAAAACACCCCCTACCTCGTACCTAATTTTGCAGTCTATCTCTGAACCGGAAAGCATTCTTTAGGTAATATTTTTTTTTAATTTTTAACTACTAGTTAATGTAAAATTTATGATCCACAAATACTAAATACCTATATGCACATATACATGGTGTCAAAACTTTTTTCTCTTCCCACCCTTGTAATGATCCTTCAAGGACAGAATTTTAGTAAGCTATACCCATGATGCAAGCTTATTTTTCGTTTCCATTTGGTAAACTGTATTTAACTTCTTTCCCAGTAAGAGACACACAAAGACAATAGTGGGAGAGGTGTGAAGACTACCCCCACCCCATACAGCAAGCTGTTTCTTTTGTACTGACTCAATCAGAATTGTAACTAAAATTCAAAGAAATATGCAAAGGACCGATTTATTCTCCAGTTTTGCCAACTTTAAAATACAAATGCTTCTTCCTTGCAGGAAAAATACACTAAACATATTTCTTCCATTTTCTTTGATACTTTAGACCTAAAATACCTTCATCACAGCAATTTTTTTTAATCACCTTCCAGGTTTTCAGTGCTGATTTTCAACTCAATATTTTTATCCAGTTTTTTAAAACAAAATTTAAAAGCTTCAAAGTATTTTTTGGAAATTTCAACATAATTCAAGTATAAAAACTCATTAGCTATCTATTACGTTGAATACATACCAAACATCCTGGTTGGCTACCCACATTCAAAGAATTAGAAAAGTAGGGTGAGATACAATACAGGAGAGGTACATTCCTAGCAGAATAATGGCTTCTTTAAAGCAGATGGGGATATGCGTAAATTCTCACTGTAATTGGCTATCTCCTAACACTATGCAGCACCACGGATTTTGTGTGTACTTAGATCACAAATACCTAACAAATACCAATTATCACTTTACATGATTCAGACACTTAACTGTGACCAATCACTTTTGCAAGTGAGGATGCAGATCAGGAGGAAACTGTACTGGTCCCCTGACATAGCTTGGGAGCTGTTTTTTTTTTAGATAAATCCTTGTTATCAACTTCTATCCTTTGCATAAATATAGAATACCAGACGTGCAACTGTATGAGCTCCTGCGGAATGTAACAGGATTGCCTTTCTACAAGCTTGTAAGAATTGCATCAAAAGCAAAAAAGGTATCTCCCCAAAGTCATCATTGTATTTACTGTCATCTTTGGGATATGAAATGTAACTGTATCCTCAATGTCACCTTCAGCCCACTGGTCTATTTCCTTAGGTTTGTCAACTGGGAAAGGATTCTTTCATAATTTCATGGCACTGTGCCAAGGACTCCCCACCCCAAACTCTCAAGCTCCTTTGAAGACATTTCTGAAAACATTTCCAGAGGCCACAATTTCCTCCACTCTCAAGGTTCCACTTGTAACAGAATTCCTAGCATAAGCAACATTAAAAATGGCATCTTTTATGCTGTAACAAGATTGAAAGTCTGGCTGACTGCCTTCATAATTTATCAGTGAACCTCAGGGAATCTTGTAGGTAATAACATTATACATTCTGAATAATGCCCTGGTCCATAGACTTTATACATGGCAGATAAAAAGATGGCTGCATTATGGTGGAGTAGTCTGGGATACACAGGCAGCAGAAGCCTGCCATCCCCAAAAGGCCCATAGCTCTTTCTTGGTCTGAGGCTGCTCTAAACAAGCAATGCTGTGTACCTGGTCTGGTGAGAGGCACCAATGACCAGAGGTAATGAATTGAGGGGAGAGGGCCACCTGGAGCTTCTAATGGCTAACCTATCCTAGGCTGTACAATGAAATCAAAAGGGCAATGGAATCCTCCTGACTGACACAAGGCCAGGTCAGAGGAACAAAGTGGATCCCTGGGAAAGGTGGAAGAATTGGAGATCTCATTGTAACTGGGTAGAAAAGATGATAGGGGCATCTGGAAAACTCCAGAGGGAGACAGGTCCAGATGTATTGTTCCCCTTTTGAAGGTAAAGGCAAACAAAAACTGGCTATCTGGGTGGATGGGATGGTGAAAAAGCCACAGCACAAATCAGTAATTGAGAATTAGGACAGACCTATCAAGTGGGTTTGGGGGCCACAGGGGATACGGTGACCATGAAGGATTAATGAATCTGAGATCTTGAACAAAGTGATAAACTTGTTTCTCTTCATATGTAAGCTTTCCAGGTTTTGGGGACTGGTAGGATAAGGGTATTGCAAGGAGATCTGATCCTTACGAGGTGATTGAGTCCCCTAATGGGGCAAAGGATATTGTTGGTGCAAGGTGGACAGGTGGTCCTTACTGATGGGATATCCTGACAGTCTGTCTCCCCTGAAGCCCAAAGTGGGTCAAGGGAAAGCCAGTGGCTCTCCTTTGGAAGGGTTGGAGTGCAAGAAGAGCAAGGGGACAGGAAGATCTGGGATTTTCAGTTTTAAGGCCTCCTCCATACACTATTGAAAACCCCAAGAGATCTTGTCCCAGTAAGTCAATGGGGGTACCTGGGTTCATACAGAATCTTGATTGTTCTTCCTGTAAGAGATTGATAGCGGCACAGATTAAGTTGGCCTCCAACTCCAATGACCAAGACAGAATCGTTTAAAAGGGTTGAGGAAGTGGAAGTCATCCGTGCACAGCAGAAACCTGGCAGCACTGCTATGCACCAGATGTAGGGTAAACTTTCCCTTGATCTTAATAGATGTGGATGGGGAAAGAGTGGTCAAGGGGAAAAGTTTTCTGAGGTCTTCTGTCTGGCTCTCAATGTGTTTTCTTAGGATTTGAGGTTACCTCCTCTGTAGGGGGCAATTCTTTTTCCAATGGCTTTGCTTATACTAAGTGTGTCTCTAGGGAGACTGGAGTATACCCAGCTTTTCTGTCAAAGGGCCCTTGTAGAAGAGTGACATCCATCTCTTCCTGCTGTAGCTGTAGCATATTCCCTTTTTTAGACTTATCTAGTTAAGACCAGAGGCAACTTGCAGTATTTCCTGTGGTCTTCTAAGTGTGTCTCTAAGGCTGTGGATGAAATGAGCCTTGTTTCCTTTTCTTCCTCGAGTTCCCTTGGACCCATGTTTTCTGTAATACCTCTGAAGCTGGAAGTAAAGTTCCAAGGAGGATCTCACCCCAATCTGCCTCCTAGGAGAACATTTCTGAGAGCTTCAATGAACTTAGCCCGAGTTTCCCTGACCTGATTAATGTCTCATGTAACCAGGAATTTCTTTGGCCCACCCTGACCTGTCCTATAAATTCCTTTCCACTGATATAAGTAGAAGCTGATTATTGTTCAGTCATGTCAACTCTTCAAGACCCCCCTTGGGGTTTTCTTGGCAGATACTAGAGTAGTTTAACATTTCCTCCCCCAGCTCATTTTTATAGATGAAGAAACTGAAGCAAACAGGGTTAAGACTTGCTCAGGGTCACAGCTTATAAACGTGAGGCCAGATTTGAATTCAAGATGAGTCTTCCTGACACTTAGCATTGGCACTCTAGCCACTGAGCCAGGTGTTTGCCAAAGTCAGATGGTGTGCTTCAAAGAGTGTGGGGTTTATCTTTTGTTGCAATTGTTAATAGTGCCTTTATCTTTCAACTGGCTCTTCAGACTAGTGGTCAACTCCTTAGGACCTCCTTCATTTATTTCAAAGGGGCCTTCCTCAGGAACTGCAAAGTGGGATTGTCCCTGTGAAAGCTATTTCATAATCCTGGGCCATAAAGCTTAAACATCCTATCATGTGCTCAGGAAGATCTAATTAAGCTTCCCTCATTAATCTGGGGCAGCCTATATATGGGAGTGAAGGATTGGTGTTGGACAGACTGGGGTTTTATGCAATCATCCAGGCCAGCAAAAATGCAGGATGCAACAGTACAAGATACAAACACCAGAGGGATTGGATTGGCTACCACCAGTATGTATTCTCAGACTGGGTGGGTACCCAATTTATATTTAATTCACACAAGGGTCGAAATGGAGGAGTATTTGTTGGAGGGCTAGTTGAACTGAACAGATTGCAGCTTGCTACCAGGACCCTTAGGTGGTGATTAGTTTGAGAGGACTACTTATTTGCAAACAGTGGCAATCAGGCTATTTTTAACCTGCCCAAAGTAGCTCTCCAGTCAAGGTCTCTTAGCTTTCTGGTTACTCAGAGTCCTTAGTCCTCAGGTGACTTGAATATCTTCCTGAACCCTAGGAAGGAAGATATTCACCAATTGGTGCGGGTTGCTTCAACCTGCCCTGGTCTTGGAGACTCATTCACCATTTGGGGTCTCAGTGGCTCCTTGGGCTGTTTTAGTTTGACCATTAGGGATCCATTTCTAACATCAAGTTATCAGCAGAGAATGGCCTCAAAACAAGAAAGTTTCAGAAAGTTTATTAGGCCCCCAGCAGAGGAGAGAGTCAAAGTGGTTGGCCAGCTCCCCCAAATCAGTTAAAGCTTTACATTATAGACATTTTAAGTAGGAAAAAGAAAATCAGAAAACTGAGTTGGCACACAGGCCCATCTAAATACGGTGTGCTAAACATAAGGCAAATATAATTCTGTTGACATTTCAAGAATTATTGGGAAATCCCTTAAGAGTACTTGTAGAGCAAAGCCTTCCTCTTCCAGTTCTTCTGCTTTTCTCATAAGACCAGCCTTCCAAAAGGTTCTTTCACTACAAGAACAAAATCATAATTAAGGTAATCATAAAAAAGTCTCTTCATCCAAGAATTGTCCTGGATTTTCCAATCATGGGGAATCTGATCTTATGTGATCCTGAAGCATTTCAGCACATAAACAGTCAATCTGCAGTTTGCTTAAAAATAGCACCACTATATTCACTTGTACCTGAGGGGATGTAATTCTGCAAACACCAGCCTGGCTCATCAGTAATAAAACTGTACTCAGGAGACAGAGATTGTTTAGCAATTAAATGTTTAAAAATTCAGTTAAGTTTTAAAACATGCAAGTGATTCATGAGAAAGTACACAAAGCTCATCAGCTGTATTCGCTTGATGTTCTTTGGCCCTCACACTAAGACAGTGATAAGGGCCTGCCCGGAGAGCTTGAACAAACAGCATCCATATAAAACACTGTTCGAGTTGTTCTAATTGAGGTGTGTGTATAGTGCCTACTCTGTGCCAGGCACCATGCTAAGCACTGGGCAGCATTCAATAACTTTATTTCACTCAGAACTAACGAACTATTTGAACAGCTGTACTTTCTGAGCCTTGATATCATATTTTGGATAAGCCAACATTGTACTCTTCTATCAAAACATTCCTATTCTCATCCATTTCTATAAGCATGCAAATACCTATTTTCTCCTTTAACATAAACACAACTCTTTTTGTTTATCTCCCCCTTCCCTTGGCTTTTTCCTGGTCCACCCCCTAACACAATAAAGAGTTACAGCTAAAGTCATCTATGAAATACTTCTGGGTAAAGAAGGTGGCAAAAATAAATAAATAAATAAAAAGACTGGGAATTTTACCTTTTGTGTTACCCAGTGGCGTGTACTGTTCAAGTTCTAAGTTTTCACAGCTCCTGCTACCTCAAAAGTCTGGAATTCTGTAGTCTACATGAGTAAAAAGAGATAAAGCATTTGGGTTATTTTATTAGTTATCATAGACAAATTGAAGCCATACGGTCCAATTTAGTTTTATTTTGACCTTTCTCTGTACATTTGAATGTTTGCTTATTGACAATTTAAAAAGGATTTACTAGCTGATAGTAGCAATACTACAGGGAACACCTAACTGTGTACTAGCTGGACTCAGTCTACTTTGGTCTGTATTTGTTAGCAATCATCACATAGGACTGTTGTGAGTTAATATATGTACGATGCTTATATTTGTAAAGTGGTATAAAAGTAAGCTATTATTGGGAACAAAGCCAAGAGACTGAAGTTTTCTTAACAGAATTAACAGAATAATGCAATTTCTAGGGAACTGAGTTTAGGTGCAGGTGAGAAAACGCTCAGGCAACAAACACCTAAAGTCTCCTATTTTACTGGGTGTAGTTCTTGAAAAATTATATATAACTTCTCCAGGAGACACATTCAAATCTTAACAACAAACTCAATTATGCATCTTGTAGAATACCTACACTTTGTGAATTATTCATGGAAAAGTTGTCATGCCTGGCAGTCAACCTCTTATCAAACAGTATATGTAAGTTTAGAAGAAAAAAAAGATAAATCTAACATCTCCCAACAATTTTAACTGAAAACTAGTATGCTGTAAAATATGAAACATACACTACAGGGAAAATCTTAACTTTTCTTATGGGGAAAATAAGATAATCTTCCCAGTTTACCTCACGGAGCTATTTTGAAGAGCAAATGAAAATGACATATATGGAAAAGCTCTGCAAACTAGTATTCAAATGTAAGACAGTAGACCACAAGGGCCCTTTTGATTATAATTATATAAATATCTGCATAAGGTCATAAAACGCTCCTTCCAACCCCCAATGTTGGTGTGCTGGCTTCTTAGAAAGGACCACAATTTTATTAGTATTCTCTTAGGAAGCTACTACCAGGCAATGCCTCTAGTCAATTAAACTGCTCATTTTCCAGCCAACCAGCCAGCTACCTACTTGGTTAATGATACCTCTGGTCACAATAATGCCCACTTAACGAGAAAATTTTCCCTATCACGCAACAAAATTCACAGAAGCCTCTTTTGGTAACCTTAAAGCTGAGGTATCCCACAGCAATTACAGGATGTTCCAAAACCTTAAGTATAGTTTAAAGATATTAAAGCTTAAAACTTTGGAGACACCCTGTAGTGCCACAATACTGGTGTATTCCTCCCTTACACAGAACAAAGGGCTTGGTCTTTGGTCCCAGATAAGTGAGAGCTGGTGCCAGCAAAAACAAACAGTACCTGATAAATCCCTTCTATACAATCAACCTGTTAAAAAGCCACCCTATGTTAATCTTGTACCTTTTAGTTTATGGAAAGATAAAATTTATCCTTTTGCTAACATGTACTGCTATAGCTAATCTTTAGTGAGTATTTAGTCAAATGTGAATAGAGAAACATAGGTCTTTTATTTCAGAATTTGTCCCAAGTTCAGAAAATCACATTCATGACAATTAACATTCCAGTTTAACTACTATTCCACCCCCAAAACAAAAAGCTCAGATGCAGGAGCTAGGGTAGTACTGAGGCATTTTATATTAAATGTAGTCAAATCTGGCGTTTTCTACCTATCCTACGGGATGATATATTTTAGAGGAAGCCAAAAATAGCTGATTTCCTCCCAACTTGATAACTACTCAGAATTTTACAAAGCAGGCAGTGCTTGGAAAAGACAAATTGTGAAGGCTAGATAGCCAGAAATAATTTCTGGGCTATCTCCTACTGTCTAACATTAGGGAACAACTTCTGGTCTCTCAGAACAAAAACATTCAGGCAGGGGAGCTGTTAGGTGTGCTTTGACAAGTTTATGTTTCCTAAGTGTATTTGCAAATATAATATCCTGATGCATAAAGGGAAGACTAACTCAAACCAAAAACCATTTAGCTATGCACGGTGGGAAAAACTTAATTGTATTATTTGAACCTAGTCCTGCATGGCTGAAAAACAAAACAAAACAAAACAAAAAAACCAAAAGCCAGACCTGTTGCTTAGAGACCAGATTTGTTTAATGCTTAACTCAGGACCTAAGTTATGCTGACAAGGAGCCTAGTCAGATCTGAAGACTGATGCAAGGAAAGTGAGGAGTTTTCCCCCATTATACATCTCAAGCAACCCACATACATGTTTTATCTGGAAACTGTCTCTTTGCTGGCCAATTGGCTCTGGTTTCTTTGAATCCTATTTACATATACATGGCGGTAGTGGACTACCTTTTTTTTTTCTTTTTGGCTCTAATCTCTGCTGATCTTAAAACTTCTTTCTAAATTATTTCAGTTTAGGAATATTTTGTTCTCAGTTTATAGCACTTAGAAAAATTCCAAGTTTTGTGAGCCACCCTAAATGATCAGATTAGATTTAATACTCTACTGGCTTCTTATATTCCTGGCTACAGAAACCTTGTTTGATAGAAAAAGCACCACACCTGATTAACAATAATTTCCAAGATGCAAAAGTTCAGGGTCATCACCCTAGTGGTTTAGGGTGTTGGAATCTGACATTTGAGCCTAAAGTTTGGGTTAACCACAGGCTACTCAAGCCCAAAAGAGCTAAGCCCTGCATTATAAGCTGCCTTTATTATCCAAATCTCCACAATGGCAAATTGTACTCCCGAATTACATTCCTAGATAAATTTTACTGATTGATTTATTTAGTTTATGAAACAAAACTTTTGTAGGCAATTTCACCACATAAATGAACTAATCTTTGAATTTAGGTAACCAAATTAATTTTTATCCGATGGGATCTAATTATAGTGACAAGCAAGTGTAAAAAGAGAGTGGTTCTCTATTGCCACTAACATCCCTTCGTTTAACTGGTAAAACCAATATACAACACAAAGAAAAACTGTAAGGCTATTAATCATTCTAAGTGCTCACAAATTTAAGAACACTGGGCGTAGACATAGCCTTTCTCTCTTTGCCACCTAATTACAAACGTGACACAGCAGTCATATCTGTAATGCCTCTAGGGGGCAGAACAACCCACACACTTGGCCTTCACATTGTACTCACCTATGTCTGAAGCCATTAGTACATCAAGATCTGAAGCACTGCTCCCATGGATGGTATGCTGACAAACAGCAAGGAATCCAACCTAAACAAAAGTCATATGGGCTTCACTTCTGCACTGTCAACAAAACAAGTCAGATACGTACATTAACCATCTACAGTCCACAAAAGGAAAAAAAATGAAAATTTTCAGAAGACCCTTTCACATCATCACAGTAACTTCATAAAAGAATGTTTTGATCCCCATTCCATCTTTCTATAGCTGTATTAAAGAGATGTTCCTCCTCATCAATAAAAAAATGCACCTGGAAGTCCTTCCTTTTTGTCAAACCAGATCCCTACCCCAGGAGGTGACAATTCAGTCTGACCTATCTGTGATCAGACGACCTGAGTTCTCTCTTCCCATCTCTCTAGTTGTTGAGTTAGTCTAGTGGGGGATACAAAAAGTTACACAAGAGTTTAAAACAGAAGCTATGTCCCAAGGCAATGCCCAAATGATTTAAATAGATAAGTGCTGAAGAATGAGGGTAGGAAGCTACTGTACCTGTCTTTGTACCTCAGCATATAACCAGTGCCTTGCGCAGCTGATACTTATTTAACAAGGGTTTAGGAAAGAGAGGCACCACTTTGAGTAGCAATGTCAAACTTCATATAGATCATACTTTCCCTGATGCTGGCTTGCCTACTAATCCAAAATTAACACTTCATTCTCACCAGATGAATTGGATTTGCCCAATTTTTTGGGGGGGGGGGGGGGGCGGCAGAGAAAGTAATGTAGCCAAGGCCCACAAGATCAGGGATCAGTAAGTATACTTCTAAAAAGCACCCATAACTGGGAAACACAGAAAAATGTCAGGCAATCAACCATTCTTAGTGCTCACAGATTTCTGAACACTGAGCGTAGAAAAAGCCACTTCCTCTTTGCTACCTAAGGACACAGGTACAGCCCAGCACTGCTGCAGCAGCAGCAGCTGTATCTGTAATGGTAATGGCAGCATTTTTTATTATAAGCAATTACTCAAGATTTAGTTATTTGGGAAAATCCAAAACTTGCACCATTCTCAGTACTTTTCCAACACTGATATTATCAATTATAATAGCATTGCTATAATCTGTATATCCTCCTTTGAATCTTGAATTTGAGAGATATATCAACACAAACCTCCTTACAACACAAATCTTTATCCAGATGGAATCCCCATGCATTTCCACTCACCATTTAGGCACATCTGCTCAGTTTGGCTTGTTTCGTTTCCTCTTGCCAAAAAAGCCATGAAAACAGTTTGTTAAAATGTTAGCACAATGAAAACCTGAAAGAATCAAAAAGCCAAGTTGCATGAGGGTTCAAGTTATCAATAAAACATAAGAAAATGCCTAAATATTTATTAAGTGTCAGGCTATTAATCATTCTGAGTGCTCACTGGGTCAGAGCACTGAGCGTAGACATAGTCTCTTTCTTTTTGCCACCTAATGACACAAATGAGGCACAGCAGCCTCAATTGTAACGCCTCTAGGGGCAGTTTATGGTTATGACTAAACCAGGAATTTTCTCTTCTCTCTATATGGGTGCAGTTCTGATAACTGTCCTACAACATGTCTTATTCAGCTCATAAATGGGACCTAGGCCAGCTTGGGAAAAATAGTAAATTCTGAGGTAAAAGTCTTAAAGCTTCAGAAGCATTTGGAATGAGTCTTGTGAGGGGCTAGTGGATACAAACAAGTTGTATATATTCTTTTCCTAGTAGTTACCAGAATGAATGACCATAATAAATATTCAATTGCTGGTCTCAGCAAAAATCCCAGCATTGATTTGTAAACTCACTTAATCCACCAATCTGGTCTCCAAAACACCCCCATCAATTTTGCATGCCTGAAGTATACAGGTAAAACTACACTTGAAATCTCATTTTAGTTTTAAAAACAGAACACAGATATCAAACCAAAGGATTATTTCTTTACCAAGTCTAAGGGAATCTCTCTAAGGGATACCAAGTACATACAGACCAAAAAAATTCTTGCAGTTTCAGAAGGTTGAGGGGGAGTAGAAAGGGGAAGAGGATAACTCAGATTATTAATCAATCTGTTATAAACTCTAATATCGATCTAATGAATAAAATATCAAAGATACATTACAAGGGTCCAATAACTGGTACAATATATAGAAATAAAATTCTTGGAACCCATTAATGACCGAGATGATTGATTGAATTCCCAAACTTACTTGCCTCACTTCCCTGAGGGCACATTTCCTGGATGCAAGGCTTTCCCATTTTGCTAGAGAAAGAAGGAAAATCAAGTAAATCCTTAAACTGGTCTCACTAAGAGAAACGACAAAGAGTTGTGAATCAATATGATATAAAAAAGAATTTCACACTGTCTCCAAGTTCTCACTCACTAATATATACTAAAAGCCTCATAAATGTATTTACATCTTATGCCCATTTCAGCTAAACCTGCACCAGAATCAGTTAACATATTTTAGTAGGGGTACAGATTTTGTAGACTTGGATTTAGAACTGGAATGGACCTTAGAAATTACATTTTCCAACCCCATCATTTCACAAATGAGCAAACTGAAACCTAGATTAGAAAAAAAAAAAAGGTGATTTCCCCAATGTCATATTGTCAAAAAGCTGCAGAGTTGAAATTTGAAAATCCTTAGACTGAAGCTACTATTTCACATTAGTACAGAAATTTAAGAAAATTTTTGATAATAAAAGCAACTCTTCATTCCACATTAGAATTAATCAACAATTATTAACTATCTTCTAGACACTGTAGATACAAATTAATAAATGAACTAATATCTAACTGAAAAGAGCTTAGATTCTTAGGGACTCCGTTCTTTTTACTCCTTACTACACTTGGAAGATCTCATTAGGTCTTCTGGATTCATCAATTGATTCAGCTGTGTCCTACTCTTCAAGACTACTTGTGAATCATACTGTCCATGGAGTTTTCTTGGCAAAGGCACTGGAATGGTATACTATTTTTCTTCTCCACTGGATTAAGGCAGAGATTAAATGACTTGCCCAGGGCCACACAGTTAAGTGTCTGAGGCTGGACTGAACTCTGGATTCCAGGCTTCCTGGCTCTATCCACTGTGCCACCTAGTTGCCTATTCAGTGATCATCTCTATGCAAATTATTTCCAGATCTATAGCTTCAGCTCTAGACTCCTGAACAAGAGTCAGTTACACATGCACTCTGCAGAATAAGATAATCTATAAACCACTAACCTCTGATAAATGAATTTAATCAAAGTCTCAACAGGTCCCAAACAGAACTCATTACTTCCGCCCCCCAAAGCCTCCCCTTCCGGTACTATTGCTATAGCCTAATTGATCTCTTCGCCTCTAGTCTCCCAAAACCAACCCCTCCATCACTCAGTGATCTTTCTAAACCACAGATTTAACCCAAAAGCTCTAGGGGTTTCCTACAGACACTAGCATAAATTAATTTTTTTTTTTGGCAATTTAAAGATCTTCACAATTTCCATAGTTTTTTTTGTCCAGGCAGTGTTGTGTCCCCTCATTCCCTTCTCTTGGTTTCCTATCAGCTCAAGTCCCACATTCTCTGAACTACCTTGTTTCTACCAAAGAATTCATGGCATAAAGGGTTACGGAGGTAAATTAGAGGCAGTTAATTGATAGTGTTGGACCTTAAGTTAGGAAGACCAGGGTTCAAATCCTACTTCAGACACTTATTAGCTGTAAGACCATGGATAAACAAGTCGTTTAATCTGTCTTGTCTCAGTTTCTTCATTTGTAAAATGGAGATAATAATCCCGGAGTTGTGAGGATCAAATGAAAAATCTTTGTAAAGCACTTTGCAAACCTTAAAGCATTATATAAATGTTAGCTATCATTACTACTTTTTCTCTGTCAAATCTTGTCTAAGGGAATATAAACTGCTGGCTTTGGTAAAGGAAAATTCTAATTTCATCATGCTATGTGGTTATTATATAAAGAATAACTGTGACTATAGGGTTGTCAGTTTTGCTGAGCATCAGTCTTTTCATGTTAGCTAAAATGAGATACACGTAGTGTTTTGCAAACCTTAAAGTACTGTATAAATGCTAACCATTATTACTGCATAGGGATAAAGGTCTCTAGCTACAAGGATGACAGAATATGTAGCAATAAAGTTATAAATACTGTATTCGGTTATTATTGTAAGCAAGTTGCTGCCATCTAGAGCTAGAAATATTAAAAGCTAGCAACTTCACAAACTAAATGAAGAAACCTCAATTCCTTCAGAGGGTCGAGTGTGGAAGAAAATGAAATAAGACTAAGAAACTAGAGAAGGTTGACGAAAACACAAATATGGAAAGGAAAATGGAACACGATTTAACAAGGCTATAGTTCTAAGCTGTTTGTCTCAGACCCTTTTGTTCCCTTCTAAAAATATTTTTAAAAAAACATAAAATTCGGATGGCTATCAAGGATAAATTATATTTAAAGTTTCCAAAATGTTGCAAAAGCAAGTTCATACATCCCAAATTAAGAAACCCTGCTGTGATTACTCCTGGGAAAATTTAAGAACAAACCAGGGGAATAAGTTTGGAAGAAAAGCGAAAGGAGAGTACGATAAGCTGGTACTTAATTAGTGTCGCTTTTACATTCTTTCTATCATTTAAGTAAAGACGTCCCGATGGGGTGGGGGAGCGGCGCGACACCAGCAGTTCTGGACAAAATCCCTGGTTGACCCTGGCGCCCGGACTCCCCACAGCCCAGGGAAGACATGAGGGAGGACATGAGGCCGGACACGTGGCGGAAGCCTAAAAGTAGGAAAAACACTTCCAAGCGATCTAGAGCGTCACATGTCCAGGCAAACTTGAGGAAACGATTCAGATAGTAGACTGCAAGTGGGTACGGGGCCCGGGGAGTCGGTGGGGGTAAGCAGGGATGCCCGCAGCCCAGGGGAGGCTAGGGCCCGTTTAACTTACCAGCAACGCCACACCAGCCGCTTCAGCCACTCAGAGAGGGCGTAACCTGCCCACCCACCGTCTTATATAGACCCTACGGCGGCCTGCATGGGACATGGCAGCAAACGCACGCGCATTCCCTTCCGGATGGACTCGCTCCGGTCTCTGCCGCTCCTCCCCTCACCACCCTGTTCCCCTAGAGCGCCTGCGCAGCCGTAATATCGCTCACTCAGTAGTTTTCCAGAGATCCCACCAAGACTAGGGCATGAGAAACAGGTGACTTCTACCAGAGGTTCTTCCTTGCCCTTCTCTGTCTGAAGGAAGTTCTAGCAATCATGCATTAGGGAATGTACCCTCCTTGGGGACAAATCAGGGCCTGGATGCCCTGGACTTTTAAATAAGCAAAATCTTTATGGACACTTAGGGTTACCTAGTGTTTTTTATGGACTAAGAACTGGATGTTCCATTTTTGTTCGGTCATTTCAGTCATGTCTAACTTTGTGATCCCATTTGAGGTTTTGGCAAAGATGTTGGAGTGGTTTGCTATTTCCTTCTCCAGTTCATTTTACAGATGAGAAACTGAGGCAAACAGGGTTAATGACCTGCCCAAGATCACACAGCTAGTGTCTGAGGCCAGATTTGAACTCAGGAAGATGGTCTTTCTCACTCTAGGCCCAGCACTCTATTCACTATGCCACCTAGTCATCCACATTCTTACTATCTCTGTACTTATCTTATGTATTAATGTAGTTTGCCATTTTTGTTCTTTCATTTCCAATGCAAGAGTCATCCTCCTTGGCAGGAAAACAAAAAAAAGAAATAGGAATTGGGCAGTTCTGCTTTCTGTCCAGTTTGTTATCATCCCATCCCTCTCAAGCATAGGTCATATCCTTTCTTTGTTTTCCTTTTCCTCTAATATGGTTAAAAATCAAAACAAACCCACCCTTTTGTTGTCTTTAGCTTTCCTTACCAGTTTCAGCTCTCTGAGCTTTAGCATTCCTGTCACTGTTTAAAATTTTTTAATGGATATTTTTTATACCACCTTCACTTCCTAATGTATTCATCCTCTCTTCTAGAGAGCTATCAGTTATAATCAAGAAAAATCAGAAAAAAAATTCAGCAAAAGTAACAAATACAACAACCGAGTCTGACATTATATGCAGCACTCCACACTCTAGTCTTCCACCTATGCCAAAGAAGGAAAGCATTGTCCTATCTTTTCTCTTTTTGGAGATTGATTGACAATCATTTTCACAGTACTGTTTCAGATGTTTTGTTCTTTCCATTTACATTGTTGTTATATTTAGTTTTCCTTCCACTTTGCATTAGTTCATACATGTTTTTCTTCCCAGGCTTTTCTGTATTCATATCTGTCATTTCTTATGGTGCGATAATATTCCATTATATTAATTTACCATGATTTGACTATTCCCCAGTAGACCAGCATCTCGTAATTTCTTTTTCCTTGCCACTACAAGTGCCATTATAAATATTTTGACATATATAAGACCCTTCTACCACTGACCTTGAAATATAATTTATATGCCTGGCAGGTATGTTGGACAAAGGGCAGAGATAATTCTAAACTGTTCCCAGAATGATTGGACCAATTCACAGTTCCTTCAGTGAGGAAGCATGCCTAGTTTTGTACAACCCTACCAATATTAACTATTCACATCTTTTGTGTTTGTCAATTTAATAGTTCTGAGGTGAATATCAGAACTGTTTCATTATACATTTCTCTTAGTGATTTGTAGCACTCTTTCATGTGGTTGCTATTATCTTTAAATTCTTCGTTCATATCCTTTGACCACTAGTCCATTTGAAAATGGGTCTTGATATATTTGCATTAGTCCCCTATGAAGTGAGTATCAGGCTGTTATCAGAAATACTTGATGCAAAGATTTTTTTCCTAATCACTTCTTGTCTTACATCAGTTGTATTAATTTTGTTGATACAAAAGGTTTTCAATTCCATATAATTGAAATAATCTATTTTATCTTTTGTGATCACCTTTATCAGTTGTTTAAGAATTCTAGCCAGGGCTGTGAAAGGTTATCTGATTTGGTTCTAATTGTTTTTGACAATATGACCATTAATCAAGCCATATACCTATTTTTGATATTATAGTACATTAGATGTTGAACTAAACCAAATTTCTGTCAAACTGCTTTCTGGTTTTTCCATTCATTCTTATCCCAGTAGTTCAATTTCCACATTTTTTTTAACAGGACCATGCCATGCTTATGTTCATCTTATTATCTGTCATTGCTTTCATCTTCTGTACATTTTTAAAAAAATCTAAGTTAGCTGTCGAGGTCCCTGGGCATCCTTTGGTCTTTTCAGATAACTCCCACTTCCCCTCCTCATTAGAATTGTTTCCTTTCGTCTTTTGAATTTCATTTTTGAGTGTCACCTATCCCCTTAGGGTTGACTTCTCCTCAAGAATTTGCGCCAATGGGAGTGGGAGATGGGAACCCCTCAGAGTTCCCATCATTTCAACCTCAGGAACCAGTTCCTCCCTGTTAGTGAGAATACAATCCAATATAAATTTCCCTTTTTTGAAGGATGAAATTATCATTAAGGCAAATCAAGCAATTAACTGCTGTCTTTTTGACAGAACACTCTGACAGCTGTCTGGATAACAAATCTTTCTAAAGATGTCTAAATAACTGACGTTTTCCACAACTATTATGTCATATTTCTGTGCCACACTTGTAATGTTTCCCAAACTTATCTGTTTCTACTTTCTATTCAAGCAGACTACTCTGATGATAAAAATCGCTGAATTCTTGCTTCACTGATCTCCATGCAAATACCTTCCATCTATGCTTCTCTCCTCCAGTCCCTTAATTTTCTCGTAGACCATTAATGTGTATCATTGAGATTCTCAAAGCACATGCTAAAATATTCTCCTTCTTTTCCCCTGGTTGGGTTTATTCAGCTCATCTCTTTGTCATAATTTAAAAATATGAGTCTTATTTTCCCTCAAAAGTGGGTCCAACATAACTATAAAAGACACTGTCATTATAATGCAAAGTACACTAGATAAAGAATTTAGAAATCTGGGTTCTAATCCTGGCTTTATCATTATTCATTTGTTATCTGACCTTGAATGAGTCATTCTTTCACCTGGACCCCAGCTTCCTTATCTGTAAAATGAAGATAATACCAATTTCTCAAGCTAGCTCAAAATGTTATTAGGAGGAACAAGTGAGATAATGAATTTGAAAACACTATGAAAAGTATGAAATGGCATCTAAGGATAAAACATGACTATTATCAGATAGCAAAAAGACTTTCCTTCATTTTCAGACTAATATACATGGACAGGAGAGAATTTTGGTTTTAAGAACTAGGAGGTATTCAGGTCTTGTTTTTATTTTGGTAGAAGTCAGGTGATTCTTTACAAAACTCCGCTTTTTCATCACAGTCTATGTTCCTAACTGAGCAGGGCCTGCAGGCTGCTGGTATGTATCTCCTGTCTTGTCTGCCATCTGTCTGCTCTGCTGGCTGTAGAGGAATTCCATTTGCTTCCTCTTTGCCTTAGCTCGTTTGATGGTTGTTCCAAAGAGATGGCAGAAAAGCTTGATGGAGTCAGGGGAATCATCATTTCCGGGGATGGGGTATGAAATGAGGCATGGGTTGCAGTTTGTGTCCACAATGCCCACGGTAGGGATGTTCATCTTGGCAGCATCCCTTACAGCCACATGTGGCTCAAAGACATTGTTCATGGTATGGAAGAAGATCATCAGATCTGGGAGACGGACCCCAGGGCCAAATTGGACAGGCGCATTGGTCAGCAAGCCCCCTTTAAAATATCTGGTGTGGGCATACTCTCCACAGTCCACAGCCATTTTTTCTATTAGGTGGGTGAACTGCCGGTTCCGGCTCATGAACAAAATAATTCCTTTTCGATAGGCCACGTGGGCAGTAAAGTTCAGAGCCAGCTGGAGATGCTTGACCGTTTGGTCCAAGTCAATGATGTCCTGCTCTAGTCGGGTCCCAAAGATGTATGGTTCCATAAACCTGTAAAAGGCACACCATTTGAACACAAAGTATATAGAGTGAACTCTCAATCATCAGCATCAACCAATATTTATTAAGTACTAACTGCTTCTGGGGCAGCTAGGTGGTACAGCAGAGAGAGTACTGGGCTTGGAGGCAGGATGACGGGAGATGAAATCTGACCTTAGACACTAACTAGCTGTGGGATCTTGAGCAAGTCACTTGACTTTCTTGCCTCAGGTCTTTTCCCCTCACTTCTAAAATGTATTTCATTTGTTCCCAGGCAGTTTACTAAAGACACTAAACATGAGAGATGAATGCTTAGAAGCAGGGGTGTATGGACCTCAACCTCTGGCCAGGTCTGGTGGAGATGAGACCATGACTCCTAAGCTAGTCTTTCTAAGAAGGGAGTCAGTTTTGCTCTTTACTATATGGTTCCATACACATTCCCTTATGGTCACTCCACAGCAGCTTGGGATACATTCAACTGTCTCATAAAATAATTCAGGCTACATCTGAAGGTGGAGAAGAAACCATATTCCAACCCAGTCCCCTGAAGCAATCAAAAACAATTCTTTTCTTCTCTTATGGGGCATTATCAGATGGGCCAGAATTCATCTGGAAAGTGCTTCTACTTCCCCCACCCCTTTCCTTTCACAGGGGCCAGGCCAGGGAAAAGGAGTCAATTTTCAGAAACATGGCACCAATAAGATGAGTGAGGGTAAGCAATATGACAAACACAGAAATAATAGTAATAGTGCTTGACCTTCAGAAGCTCACAGTAGGGGCGAGAGGGGAAATGAGACACATACATAAAATAGTAACAGCTAAAATTTACACAGTGCTTACTATGTGTCAAGCACCATGCTATGCACTTTCATAATTATTATCTCATTTGATCCTCACAACAACTCTAGGAGGTAGGTGCTATTATTATTCCCATTTTACAAATGAGGAAACAGAGGCAAACAGAGATTAAGTGACTTGCCCAGGGTCACACAGCCAGTAAGTGTCTGAGGCCTAATTTGAACTCAGGTCTTCCTGACTCCAGGCTAGGCACTTTATCCACTGAATCATTAAGCAAAAAAGATAACCATAATAGAAAACAGTATATAAGTGCTCAATGAGTAAAACAGACAGATACTTAATAAACATCTACTAAATTAATCTGGAAAAACTTGGAAAATTACTACAAATGATTAGTTCTGAGACTCTAAAGTACTCCTTCAAGTCCCACCTATATACATTTCCTAAGGCTCTTTTGTACTGGGAACACATAGCAAAGGCTGAACATACCTGTGACGACAACCTTTTTTATGTCCTAAATGTACTCTGGCATCAAAAAGAGTTTTGAGGGAAAACAGTTCCTTTATATTAAAGAAATCAGAGTGTTTGAGAGGTTCAGTCAAAATCTTGTCATTGAGATCTAGAGGAAAAATGAACACTGGTGAATTTTAAAATATTATGTAAAATAGACTTGCTTGTTACACTAACATTTATTTTTGAAAATTGACAAGAGCATCCTCTTCCAGAACCATCCTTTGGGAGGAAGCTATGGCAAACATTTGACTTTATGGTTTAATCAGAAAGTTCCTATCTTGCCTCTAACACAGAATGCCTGTGTAACTTTGGTCTGGGCCTCAGATGCCTCATCTATAAAAGGAAGGAGCTGGACTACAGGATCTCTTTAGCTTTTTCCAGTTCTAATTCCTACGATCCCATGTTTTCTAAAAACAGGATACCCCACCCCCCTGAAAATATCTCAGTATATCTAAAGAGCATAAGTCAAGAACTTATTTCAGGAAAACTAAGGGCTAGATTTGGAATCGATCACAAATTAGCCATTTGACCTAAAGCAAATCCCTTCCCCTTTCTGGGCTTCAGTTTCCTCATCAGCAAAATGAGGGAGGTAGATTAAATGATCTCCAAGGTTCCTCCCAGTTCTAAGTTTTATGATGACATAGTAGAAGGGGCATTGGCAATGGATTTGATCTCAGAAAACCTGAGTTCAAAATCTGGCCTTTCTACTCACTAGCTGTATGACTTTAGGTAATTTAGAGAAGTGTTATGTGGTATAATGGAAGGAAGACTAGAAGTGGAGTCAGAGAACTTGGGTTCAAGTCTGAGTTCTGTAAATCACTAGGTGTGACTCTGGGCAAGTCTTTCTGGGTGGGCCTCAGTTTCCTCATCCATAAAGGGGAAGGGAAGGGAAAAAGCATTTATATAGTGATTACTTATGTGTCAGGCATTGTGCTAAGCCTTTTACAAATATTATATCATTTGATCCTCACAACAACCCTGTAAGGTAGGTACTGTTATTATCCTCATTTTGCTGGTAAGAAAACAGAGGCAGACAGGTTAAGTGACATGCTCAGGATCACAGAGCTAGTAAGGGTCTGAGGCCAGATTTGAACTCAAGTCTTTCTGACTCCAGGCCTAAGCTCCATCTACTGTGACACCTAGCTGTCTAAATATCTACGTGCCAGGCACTGTTCTAAGTGCTAGAAAGTGCCCACTGACATGAAGATTAAATTACTCCACTTAGAATTATCGAGCTATATGGAACTTCAGAGATGGAAATGAGGGGAAAGAGGTTGCTTACCAAGTGTCACATGTCTATTAGTGATGGATCTAAGACTGAGAGCCTAGATAAGCATCTAAGAACATAACCAACTCCCTCATTTCATAGAAAGGTGAAGTATTTAGTCCAAGGGTACATGTGTAGTAAGGAGAAGAGCCAGAACTCAAATGCAGGGCTGTGACTCCAAGTTCAGCGCTCTTTCCCCTGCACCCACTGTGTCAGCCACCCTAAGACATCCTGCTCTCCTGGTTAAATGGGACATTACCACTGTCGTCGACAATCCCTGCAGCAGGAACACTTCCATACATCCGAGGGCTGGGCTGTGAAGCCCATGGGGAGGCCTTGCCAAGAAAATCCAACCAAGAAAACCTGGACAGATTGCCTGGGGAAGGAATAGATGAGCTGTCTTTGAGAGCCTGTAACAAACACCAAGCAGATCTAGAAAAGGGGTTCTTTACTTTTTTTGCCTCCTGGACCCCTTTATCAGTCTGACGAAGCCTATAGACCCCTTCTCAGAATGAAAACCAATTAGCTGAAGTACAGTTACAAAAATATATATTAAAAAAAAAAGTCCAGGGGCCCTGGGTTAAGAACCACTGACCTCTAAGTCAGGGTCCCATTGTCTCCCCTCCCCTTTCTTGAGTTCTTGTTCAGTACCCTTCCCCTTTCCTTTGCTTCTCCCCTCCCTTGTCCCCATGACCTGCCTTCCCCCCCCCCCCCCCCCCCCCCCTTCCCCTCCCCCCCCCCCCCCCGCGCCGCGCGCTTCCACCCCCAGTTCCCCGAGGGCCGCTGCTGAGGAGGGGGATGAGTACAGGCGGAGGGCGCGGGGCAGCGCCGGGTAGGCCGCGCCGCTCGGTACACTCACTCACCCGCCCGGAGCAGCGGCAGCGGGGCCGCAGCCACAGCCATGTTGCAGGACGCGCCCAGCGCCGCCGCAGAGGAAGAGCGTCGCGCTAGCTGGCCGGGAGAGAGGGCCCCTTCCCTCTGCCGCGTTCCCGACCGCGCCACCTGCAGCCCAAGCAGAACTAGTGCAGGCTCCCACTCCGGCATCAAGGAGGGGAGTGTCCCCTAAATGATACATGTAAATTTATTTATATAGAATAATGCAACAGTGATACATATTATATAACACAACATTATGTTGTGGTTTGTCCTTCCTTCTCAAAAAGGACCATGATGTTGGGGAGATGATGACATGACTTGCAATTGACTTTGATTTGAGTGAGGGAGGGCTGTGCAAGGTCACCAGCCTCACTTTCTCCTCCAGAGCCATGTGGGTCCAGTGGCCAGATGACAATCAAGACCATCAGAACGGCAGGAGATGGCCCAGGATGCAGTGGGGACCATGGCCCTTTAAGCTAAGGTCTTTCCAGGTTCTCACTTTGAGTGAGGCAATGCCCATTCAGCGAATAGGCCTCTTTGAAAAGTGAGTCAAGAGATGACCCCTTTAATTTAAAAAAACAAAAAAAATCAGATTGGGAGGGGGAAAGGCTCAGGGTTGCAGCCAAAAGAGAAATAGTTACTAATTACATCAACCTTGAGCCTGGAAGACCCCAAAACAACATTATATAAATAAAATATAATTATGTATCATATGATAATATAATTATATACAATATAAGTTTACATGTGAAATGAAGATTAAAAACTTTTTCTTAACACCTTGCTATAAAAGTACCCTCCATCCCCCACCCCCAACCTGAGCGACCCTTGCCAATGGAAAGTAAATAATTTTTCTATGGTAGAAGGTATAGCTCCTTGAAAGCAGGGATTTTCACTTTTTTCTCTCCTTCCCCTTTTCTCACCCTGGCCTCTTTTCCCTTCCCCTCATGCCCCTCCCTCTTCTACTCCCCTCTTCTCCATTCCCCCCATGCCCACCCCCCTCCATCTCTGCAGCCTTCTTTGCACAGAATGTTCTTACTGAAGGCTTGTTGATTGATGATACCAATGAAGTGCAGGATTCAAGACCAAAATCTCATTTCTATTAGGAGCCTGCTTAAATCCAGATGTGAGCGGCTCCCAGCACGCATCAATTTTACCTGGAGAACCAGAGAGGAAGAGTCCATGGCTGAGAGGCAAGTGGTTAATGATGCTTCTTCCCATCATCTCCAAATCCCTACCTCACCCCTTCTGAAATAAATAGTACTGGCTGATTAAAGGATGTCAGCATCTCCTTTCTGCCTTTATTAAATACTTTATTTTAAAGCCCTAAAATTAATGGAAGAGGCTCATGTTAGTTAAGTTCATCCAAGAGTTAGACTGATGTTAACAGGCCTTTATTAAACACTTACTATGTGGCCCTGTGGGTTAAGCACTACGGCTTTAAAAAAAGCAGGGAGACAATATGCAAACAACTATGTACAAACGAGATATATACAGGGAGATAATGTCAAAGGGAAGGCACAAGCACTGAAAGGGACTAGAAGGAAGGAAACGTAAGCATTTACTAAGCTCCTCCTATCTACTAAAGGCTTCTTGCAGAAGATAGGATTTTACCTGAGATTTGAAGGAAGCCAGGGAAGCCAGGAAGCAGTGCATTTCAGACAGTGAAAAAGCAAGGAGTAGAGACCTCAGAGTGTCTTGTGGGAGAAACAGTCAGGAAGCCAATGTCATTGGATTACAGAGTATGTGGAGGGTAGCAAGGGAAGACTGGAAAGGTAGAAAAAGGCCAGGTTGAGAAGAGCTTTTAAAAGGGTCAGCTAGGTGGTGTAGTGGATAGAGCACCGGCCCTGAAGTCAGGGGGACCTAAGTTCAAATCCGGCCTTAGACACATAACACCTCCTAGCTGTGTGACCCTGGGCAAGGCACTTAACTCCTACTGCTTCATCAAAAGAAAAAAAAAAAGAATGTCTAAGATGGGCTTTTAAAAATCAAATAGGATTTTATATGTGATCCTGGAGGTAATAGGGAGCCATTGGAATTTATTGAGTAGGGGAAGAAGGGGACCTCCTCATTAGAATTGGTGACTTGGCCAAGCCTGTGCTTTATCACTTTGACAGCTGAGTAGAAGATAGACTGAAGTGAAAAGGCAAAATACTTTTGCAAAATGTTCCATTTCTCACCAATTCAGAAGGTGGTACTTAAAAACAATTTAATAATTGTCTTTTTAAATTATGAACCTGATATGCATTAAGCATGAAACATCTACACAGGACAGAAAATGAGGACTGTATATAAAAGTTAATTCTGACAAACAGTTTTTTAAAAAAATTTATGTTATATGTACCCACGTGTGGCATCGAGGCCAAGGTTCCACTCCCCTGGCTAAATTATTCTTTCTTTGAAAGCTTGGCCCAAGTGCCTCATCTATTACATGAAGCCTTTCCCGATATCCCCCATTACCTTATATTTATCACGTATTTTGTATGTACCTTTATGAGGACATGTTGCTTCCTTAGATAAAATATAACCTCCTTGAGGTCAGGGACAGTTTCATTTTTATCTTTATATTTCCAGTTCCTGGCACATAGAAGAAAGTTCTTAATAAGTGCTTATTGATTGATTAATTATTAATCCCTTTACTGCTGTAGATACTATGTGGATGATTTGAGAAGCATCAAAGGATGTCAAAGTCTCTACTCTCAGGGTACATATAACAATATGGTTAGGAAACACAGATATTAGTTAATTAAACTACTAGAGAATATAAACCAGAGGACAACTGTCAAAATGTATAATATAAACCATTAAGACCTATGGAAGGATAGAGAAGGGAGGGACCAGTATGGGCAGGAATAGGCGGTCAAAGAGCAGTTTTTAAGCACTTACTATGTGTCCCACACTATGCTAAGCACTAGAGATACAAAGAAAGGCAAAAATGTGTCCTCTGCTCTCAAGAGGTTCACATTCTAAAGTGAGAGACAACATTCAAGATATGTGCAGTATAGAGAGAAGGCAGTCTTAGAAGGGGAAAAAACTTGGAGTGCAGAAAGGGAGGTTGGAGAAGCCCTCTTGATGACAGTGAGATTTGAATGAAGGCTTGAAGGAAGCCAAGAAAACTAGGAATCAGATAAAGAAAACTAATTGTTCTAAACATGGGGAGAGACAATGCAAATTGAGAAAGTGTTCTGTTGAGGAACAGCAAGGAGGCCACAGTAGTTAGATCACAGGATACATGAAGGGGAGTAAAGAATAAGGCCAAAAAGGGACAGGTTGTGAATAGTCAGTCAGTCAATAAACATTTATTAGGTACCTACTCTTTGCCAGGGTTAGTTAGGTGGCACCATGGATAGAGTACCAGTACTGGAGTCAGGAACACTCATCTTTGTGAGATCAAATCCAGCCTCAGATAACTTACTAGTTGTATGACCCTGGGCAAGTCACTTAACCCTGTTTGCCTCAGTTTTCCCATCTGTAAAATAAGTGGGAGAAGGAAATGACAAACCACTCACAGAGGACTGGCACTCTACTAAAGGCTTCTTGCAGAAGATAGGATTTTACCTGAGATTTGAAGGAAGCCAGGGAAGCCAGGAAGCAGTGCATTTCAGACAGTGAAAACACAAGGAGTAGAGACCTCAGAGTGTCTTGTGGGAGAAACAGTCAGGAAGCCAATGTCATTGGGTTACAAAGTATGTGGAGGGTAGCAAGGTGTAAGAAGACTGGAAAGGTAGCAAAAGGCCAGGTTAAGAAGAGTCAGACATGACTGAAAAAAAGACTAAATAATATTTGCCAGAAACTGTGCCAAGTTCTAGAGATATGAAGAAAGGCAAAAGATGATCCCTGCCCTCAAGGAGCTCACAGTCTAGTGGAGGAGAGACAGCATGTAAACAACTATGTACAAAAAAGCTGTATGCAGGATAAATTGGAAATAATCAACAGAGGGAAGGCATTAGCATTAAGGGGGATCAGTAAAGACTTCTTACAAAAGGAAAGATTTTAGCTGGGACTTGAAGGAAGCCAAAGAAACCAGGAGGCAAAGATGAGGAAGGAGAGAATTCCAGGCATGGGGAACAGCCAATGAAAATGCCCAGAGTAGGAAAATGGTGTATCTTATTTGAGGAAAAGCAAGGAGTCCAGTGTCACTAGATTTTAGAGTAGATGATGGGGGAAGTAAGGTATAAAATGACTGGAATGGTGGTGAGGTACAGGTTGTGAAGAGTTTTGAATGCGAATTAAGAGATTTTATATTTTATCCTAGAGGAGAAAGGGAGTCCCTGAATTATGTGTGTGTATGTGTGTGTGTGTGGGGGGGGGTCGGGAAGAGGGGATGTGATCGGCCCTTAGCACTTTAGGAAAATTGGTTTGCTTGCTAAATGGAGAATGGAGTAGAATGGAGAGAGATGTGAGACAGGGAAACCAACCAGTCTCTGAAGTAATAAGAGGCTGTATGTATCAGGGTGGTTATGGCGTCAGAGAAGAGAAGGGGGCATATATGAGAAATGTTGTAAAGGTAAAATTGACAGGCCTTTGGCAACACATTGAATATGTAGGGTGAGAGATAGTGATGAGTTGAGAATGGCACCTAGATTGCAAGCCTGGGTGACTGGGAGGATGCTGGTGTCCTTGAGAGTAATAGGGAAATTAGGGAGAGAGGAAGGTTTATGGAGGGGAGGTCAGTTCTGGACACATTGAGTTTAAGATGTCTAATGGACATCCAGTTGGAGATGTCCAATATTACTTGGAGGTGTGAAACTGGAGGACAAGAAAGAGAGAGAGAGAGAGAGAGAGAGAGAGAGAGAGAGAGAGAGAGAGA